CTTAATTGATGGAATCACCAGCCACCCCAATGGGTTACATTTTTATATAAAAATTCATTATTGCTCTCTGGTTTCTATTTTCACCTACTTCTTCCTATGGGCTTGTCTCAGCCTTTTTGCTTTTTATTTATTCACTTAAAAAAATAATTTTACTTTTTCTTTTCCCCTATCACTTTAAGTGAATCTCGCTGTTCTTGTCCTTTTTTTCCTACACCTCCAAACTATTGTTTTTATTTGTGTTCGTGGCCTTTGTGTTTTTATCCACTTTAAGTGATTTTTACCCCGAAGATAATAAAGAATGAAAAATATGACTAGGAAACTCTTAGAGGTGAGTTTCCACTGTTGCTTTTGTGATTCAAATTATGTAAAAATGAGCACGTAAAATGATCACTTTCTGTTGGAGGTTATGGGCATTGGTTGATGTCAGAACTGTTTTTTCGCTGTCCTGTTGCTTTCCATTATATTTGTGGTAGGTCCACTTCCCCCAAATGCCTACTCTGCCATGGGCACTATTCTAGATGCTTGAGAAGTATCCGTGAATTAAACAGACAAAGGCACTTCCTTCATGGGTGCTGGTCAGAGAAGGGTTGGGGACAAAAAATAAATAACAAACATAATGAGTGAGTCGCATAGTGTATTAGAAAATCATAAGTGCTACGGAAAAGGGGCAGCAGGGAAGGTTTGAAAAAAAGTGTGTCTGGGTACAACTGTAAACACTGTGGTCGTGGTGGGTCTCTTTAAGAAGGTGACATTTGAGCAGACTTGAAGGAGGAGAGAGCCATGGGCATTCTGGGGCCAAGAATATTCCTTGCACTGAGACCAGTCCATCCATAAGGCCTGACGCAAAATACTCCTGGAAGTTGTACGTATTTCCAGAAAAGTTTTTATGACCTACTTCACCTTTCATTATTTTACTCCCCAATACTGGCTTATTTGTGAGCAAAGGGATTTGTGTCTATTAGATTATTATTGTTTTTTAAGTACAGTCTCAATTGTCTATATAACTCAAATACCTGGAAACTTCATATATTCAGAATATACATGAGCACTATCAGAAAGAAAGAAAGAAAAGGAAAGAAGGGAGGGAAGGAGGGAAAAAGAAAGGAAGAAATGGTCACTGAGGACCAAAACACCACTTGGAGAAGAGGTCTCAGGTCCTTACTTGTGGCTGTTATATAAAATTTGATAAAGCTCAGTTACCTGGTATCCAAGCTTTCAACTGACTGAAAGGAGGGATTTGAGGAGAATTTTGGCAGGATCAGTCCTGCCAATCAGATCTATAGACAGTAGTGAAAATTCATACTGACAGGCTGCCAATTAGGAGTCAACAAAACGCATCAACACCCAAAAGGTCACACACCCACCAGAAGGCCACACTCGGAGTGAGGCAAGCATCTACCCTCCCTACACCACCACCTTGGAGCACATGAGGGCCATCAGCTCAAAATGGCAACCATAACCCTCCCCTGCAAAAGTCTAAAAACAGTATGATCCGTTTCAAAAATTGGAGGGAAGGATTTCAGATTTTAATTCAAATGCATTATGAATTTTTTAAAAAAGTTGTGATTATAAAGAATTTTCAAATATATGGAAAACTTGAGCATCTAAGAATCCTCATTCACAGAGAATATACCAATGAGGCAAAATCTTTTGGCACCAATAAATTTAATTATTTATAATTAAAGTAGAAAGGGGTATGGATGATGTGGCTATTTATTGGTCATTGCTAGCAAAATTACTCATCGTCTTACCATTCTCTAGCATATGGGTGTTTTCTTTCTTAAGAAAGCAAGATGAGTGAAAATCTGACTACAGGTATTTTAGATTATAAATTTGTATAAAATTCTATTTTTAATTAGCAATAATCGCGCCTTGGATAAACCTCATTGGCTACGATACTGCCACTGCGCAAAGCTAAAAATTCTATTTTTAGACTGTGAAAATATTTTATTTTTTAAAAGCATTTATCAATTTTACAAAAAGAGTCAACACAAAGTATATTTTTCTTTCCTCTGGTTGATTTTTTTTTTTCCTTTAACTTAGAAAATTTTTATTTACCCACAACTTTCCAGGCAAAAATCCGTTGTTACATTAAGGAAATTATATCAGCATTAGATGAAATCATAACACACCAGAGAAAACTCAATTCATGAAATGGGCCTCCAACTCCAGAAGTTACCCTGGCTTTAAGAATTATAGGCACATAGAGATATGAATGTTAGAGAAGAGTTGTCTTAACAAACAAAATTAGTATTCACAGTGCTTAACTGCAATTTTTCTTTTTAATTAGGCTAGCAATTATCAGGTATCTAAACAGCTATGCAGTACACCTGGAAGCCATTAGCTCTGGTTTTTTGCCTTCTTTTATCACTTAGGTGTGGCAGAAAAGCAACATTCTTTCCATCCCCTAGTCCTACCACCCCAGCAGCAGAGCCATGACTCAGCCCACCAACCTCTATCCCACAGCTAGGAAAGATGATCTAAGGCCCTGCTTCTAAAATGTGATGCTAGAAATACTTACCAATGCTGAGTTTAAATTAATATGTTTTTAAAGATGATCTGAGTACAAAATGCTTCTTATTAACAAAAATCAATCATGGTTGCTGTCTCTTCTGTTGTGGTTCTAATTACTACTATAAGAGGTTTGCTAAAAAGATAGACAATGTGGCTTATTTGTTTTCATTCCTTTTGGTGGACTATAGAATCTTTGTCAACTCTAGTCTTTAACATTTGACACAAACATGTCAAATCTTACTCCATTTCCTTCTCAGAAACATTTATTTTCAATATCTTTTAGCCCAGCAAGTCCAAAGTAAAAACTATGTAGGCCTCGAAAGATATCCATAAAACCACTTTCATTCATGTCCCAAGTCCCAAACCAAACACAAATTGAAAAACAAAAAAATCAGAATGGACCGTATATAATAGGTTAAAGAAATAACTGCAATTGGAAATTTATAAAAATAAAAATAAATTACAAAAATAAAGAGGGGTGTGGCATCATTTAGTGTTAACTGACCTTTCTGTGTTGACAAAACGGAACTATAGTCAGATGACACAATTCTGTGAAACAGATGATTAAATTGCAAGAGAAAAACTGGGGGCAGCCTCTTTTAGAAGCTACTTAACATCCTAATTTTCTCTGATTTTATATAAAACTGTGAGATGATAGAAGCCAGGCAAACTTATATCAAATTGCAATGTCTGTATACTCTGGGGGCCTACTAAAGTATTTTAGATACTATATAATCTAAATGTACCTAAGACAGAAGTGTTTTAATGTCACTGATAAGACTTCTGCACCAGCACATTGATACTGGAACAATCACTAAATATGTTATTTTCAAATTGCCACTTACTATGACTCAGTATTCTAGAAATTCGTGTGGTTCACGTAGATGATGATGAGCCTGAATTTTGGAAATTACCATGTCAACGATTACAGCTATTTAAGGAGAACAATTTTATTCTGATGCTTATACATTTTGGCTGTATTTTAATCAGGCATTGTTAGATTTTTTAGTCATTGAATAAGGCCTTGTAAAACATTTGTGTGGGAGGAGAGAAAGGGAAAGAAAGTGTAAGAAATAGATTAAGTATATGAGGGAGGTGGAGGAAGATTTATTTCAAATTTAGAAAGAGTGATTTTAGCCACAATATCACAAAGGAATAATATACAAAAATTAATAACTTGTGTATTGTGAAGGTGGGTTTTATGTGTCAACCTGACTGGGCTAAACAACATGCAGGTAGTTGGTAAAACATTGTTTTTGAGTGTGTCTGTGCAGGTCTTTATGGAAGAGGTTAGCATTTGAATCAGTACACAGAGTAAAGTTTGCTCTCGCCAAAGTGGGTGGGCCTCACCTAATCCATTGAGGGTCCAAATAGAACAAGAGAAATGGAAAGGTCTCTGCCTAAGCTGAGACATTCATCTTTTCCTGCCCTGGGACACTGGCTCCCCTGGCTCTCAGGGCTTCAGACTATGACTAAATTATACCACCATCTTTCCTGGTTCCAAGGTTTGCAGATGGCAGATCATGAAACTTCTTGGCCTTTAGAATCACATAAGCCAATTCCTATAATAAACCTCCTCGTCTATGTATATTATGTCCTATCGGTTATGTTTCCCTAGAGAATCCTGACTAATAAACATACCAAATGTGATATAGGGAGGGTAAATAATTATTTATGAAAATTGCCTTCAAGAAATTCTCACTCTTTTAGGGGCACCTGGGTGGCTCAATGGGTTAAGCCTCTGCCTTGGGCTCAGGTCATGATCTCAGGGTCCTGTGATTGAGCCCCGTACTGAGCTCTGCTAAGTGGGGAGCCTGCTACCCTCCTCTCTTCTCTCTGCCTGCCTACTTGTGATCTCTCTCTCTCTGTCAAATAAAGGAATAAAATCTTTAAGAAGAAAAAAAAATAAATTTTCACTCTTTTATAAGGTGGACTACTGCAGAGAAAAGAACATAGATTCTGGAGGCCAGGAGACCTGGGTTTAATTTCCAGATCAGCTATTTTAATAAATTTGTATACCCAGGAAAATTAGGTAAATTGCAGAGCCTCGGTTTTCTCATTTGTTAACAGATTATCTTGATAATTAAAATTTGTAATGAATATAGATCATGTACCACAGTGCTTGGCATGCAGCGGACATTCCTTTCCAATCTTTCCTCATAGTATTTACCCATAATATGTTGTTTTGGACTGACTTTCTAAAATGTTTCTAGATTTGCCTAATGTTCATGTCATTTTAAAACAGATCTTTTAAATTTTTTCTAGTTTTATCAAAGGTTTATATAGCATTGTCTTTAATATTTCCAGCACTATCCAGTTCTGTTTGTTCTGGAATCTTCCACAAGAGAGGGTTCCTGAGGAATAATCCAAGATAGAACAGCTGACAGAATATGTACAATGGCTTGAAAGCCAAAATATTACAATCAGAACATACTGGACTATTGGATGTCCCCAGAAGAGGCGGTGTGGAGTTGTGTGGTACTCACTTTGCATTTGCCGTGTTGCATGTGGTCAGATTAGCCAGGGCAAGGGCCGCGGCTTCCCTCACTTCTTCATTGTCACTCCTGAGCGAATGAATTAACTGTGGAATCCCTGCAGAAGCAGAAAGGGGAGATGTGAGTCTATAAACATCCAAAAAAACAACAGTTTGGTGGCCTAAAAATGTTCAAAATGGGTCTGTCTGGTTTGCTTACCCTGATTATTGAAAAAGTCTTTGCTGCCTGAATTCTCACACATCACCGAAATAGCCTGGGAGGCAGCAATTTTCGTTCCGTCATTTTCAGAACCCAAAAGGGCTACAAGGCATTTCTCGACCTCTTGTTCGTGAAAGAGTTTTCTATTTTCGGCTTGCATAAACCAAAAGGAAAAAAAAATTCAGAATGTTGCTGCAAAAACCACGCAAGCGTAACTACTTCCTCATTGAAAATATGACAAGAGTTCAAACTATTTCTTAGCTTCAGTCACAAAGACTCTAAACTAAACAAAATATACACCTGCTTAACCTTTAGAACACAGTGATTATGCAAAATGACTTATGGTTATTGGAATTTTTTCCTGTTCCCTAATATGATATCAATAACACAGCAAAGAAAATTCTAGGACTTCCTGGGTGGCGTAGTCAATTAATCCTCCAACTCTTGGTTTTAGCTCAGGTCATGATCTCAGGGTTGTGAGATCGAGCCCCATATCAGGCTGTGTGCTCAATACAGAGTCAGCTTGAGAATCTCTCTCCCTCTGTTCCTCCTGCTCATGGTTTCTCCCTCTCTCTCTCTAAAATAAATAAATAAATCTTAAAAAAAAAGAAGGAAAATTCCATAATAATAAAAAGGCAAGTTTCAGATTTAGAGAGAATTTATTTAACGTCATTCATGTGCCTGGCATGATGCTGTCTTCACACTAAGGACAAAGCCCTGTTTATTCGATCTTCATTTTAAATACAAAACTCAGTATTTGAAGGGTGCCTAAGGTGTACAAACTGTCATGCTACATGTTTGAGAGAAAAAGAGAGAAGAGGAGAAAGTAAAAACGAGTAATAGAGTATGATTCCAAGTCTCAAGGATTTATAATCCTCTATCAAAATCTCATAATCATTTTTATCTCATTACAATACATACTGTTGTAGCAAAAATGAAATATTTAATTGTTAAATTACCATCAATATAATCTAAACACACATTAGTATGTTTTTCTTTATTTGAAAACAAATAAAATTATGACTCTAAGTACATAGCATGATATTTACCCCATTATAGAACACTAAATGAAAAACCAAAGTATTTTTAATGTTCTTTTTTCCCTAATGTTTTTCTCCAGATTTTGTTTCATTTTTTAAATAAATGACAACCTCATTATTATACTAAGCAAACATTACATTAAACTAAATTAGAACATTAAAACCTAATTTTTTGGTCTGTGTTCTATAGTTAATTCTAAATAAGTTACTATTTATTAAAGACATGTACTCAAAAAAAGGTATATTAAACCAAACTCAATTTTAATGCCGTAAGAGGTGCCAGAGACTAGTTTGAAAAGCAACAGCTTACAAATAATTTTTTGCTCATTTATTCACAGTTCCTTCAAGATACTTTGTCATAGGGTTGATTCTCCATTAACCGACTTTCATAAACTCAGTTTACTTGGTTAAAACAGAAGAATGTGTGATACATGTCTTAGGATGTTGATATACATCGGAGAATACTATTCTGTTAAAATAAAAATCTCTGTAAAAACAGCTGATACTAATTTAGGTCATATATAACATCTGCATGTGGAAGTAATTCATTATGTACATATACTGTAATTAACTTGTTTTTCCAGGAATATTCTCAGAAGTTATCGAAACTGGTTTTCCACTTTAAAGTTAATATAAGACTTCTATCTTCTTCCAACAATAAATTTTTAAAATTGCCCCCTTCACAGAAACAGAGTCACATTCGGATGCCACCATTTTTGCAAGCATTTTTGGCCCTTGTTCGTCTGATACCCCGCAATCTGGGCGTAACAGGCATCAGCTAAATTACTAACACTTCTGGTCATTTGTCTTAAACCAATTACAAACCATGTCCAGTAATCCTATCATTTTAATCCCTTGCTCCTTTCCTTTAAAATTAGAATTCAATCAGGTCAGAACTGATTTATAAAAATGTTGTGATTAATAGTTAAATCTCAACTATGTGGCTTCTGCAGTTTTAACATATATGTAGTCCTGATTGGTAATCCCTGAATAAACAAGATCTGAAAGTTTTCTAGAATCTCTGACCTAAATTGTTTAGATTTATAATTAAGACTTCCCTGAATTTAAAGCTCTAAATCAACTTTACTAAACAGAACAGTCTGAGAGTAAATTTCTACCAGGGAAATCAGCCAAACAAATTAATTTGTAAAGACTAACTTTGGAGTATGCTGTTGTTGCATTCAAAAAACAGTATATATGCAATTATTGGAAAGATTTTTCAAAATAGTCTAAATACCGCAGGCAATTAGTTTCTCAGCCCTGCTGGGAGTGTTCTCGAAATCCAGCTGTGTTCACCAAACCTCAAAAGTGCTGACTGCAGTGTGGCTATAATAGATTTAAAAGATGAATTAATGTATTAACCAAGCACCTTCATTGAATTGCTACGCCAAGAAGTAAAGTATTTATGTTTTAATTACAGAGATAATAAAGATGGGAAGGTAATTATGTGACTAATAGAGTAATGTGCTTTAAAAATAACATTTGTGCAGTATCACTAAAATAAAAAGCACGAGGTTTTGTAACTGGAAATAAATTTCACGTGATGATGCTTTCTTCACCCATTCTTGGAAGCTGCTGTTGTGCCACCTTTGCTCCTGCTGAGATGTTAATGCCAGTTCATAAACCTCGTGGCAACGTGGTAATTAACACCTTCCCCCTCCTGGTGCCAGGTCAAAGGCATATTGAGCTGGGCTTTCTATGGTGGGGACCCGTGTTAAAAAGTATTCAACAAACAAAACTTCAAGGTTGTGCGTTAGTGTGTTTGTGTATTTCAACTGTGTTTTTGACATGCAATGATAATGCATTACCTAACCTAAAAACATGTTTGATGATAATGGAAAGTAAGAAAAAAAAAATGTTATAAAAGAATACTGATGGTTACATTATTCTTAACAACAGGATAAAGAGCAATATTTGTTAAAACCTGCTTATGAATGGAGTTTTCTAACTGTGCAAACAGCTCCTCTCATTTGGTAGGCTGTCTTTTAATCTTGCTGATGGTTTCCTTTGCTGCGCAGAAGCTTTCTATTTTGATGTAGTCCCAATAGTTTATTTTTGCTTTTGTTTCCCTTGCCTCAGGAGACATATCTAGAAAAATGTTGCTACGGCTGATGTCAGAGAAATTACTGCCTGTGCTCTCTTCTAGGATTTTCTAACTCTGGAAAATTATTTTGAAACTTCACAATTATTTATCTTCAATACAGAAATACTAGGGGGTAATTTTGTTAATCCTTGTTAAGTTTTTAGAGTTTATCATTGTTACTAATTAATATAAAAGAAAGTATGCTAGATCAGGCTAGGTCTGGCAGAGAGAAGTCAAGGCAGGCAACAGTTATAAAAAGGGGTAGATAAGAAATATAGGTAGTGTTTGACCAAAAAAAAAAAAAAAAAGGCACAGAATAGAATGGAAGCAGGGAAGAGGAGGTGGTTATTGTAAACAGCATAAGGATGTAAATAAACAGAAGAAGAGAATAATCAGCTAAATGACACGTCTGTAAGATTTAGAAGTTGGGAAGTCAATGTCAAATTCTACAAGGACTGTTTTGGCAGAGTGGTAGAAGAAGAAGTCACATGCTTAAGGTTAAGGGATGGAGATAAGATATTGCTAATCTGTGGGGACATCACCATCCGTTGTTTGTTCCCTTAACCCTAAATATACTTTGGAAAGGGGTCCCTTCATTCGTCTCCTTATTTAAACCATCTGGAGTTTACAGACTGGTTTTTGCCAAGACCATATTTGGGTGATAAAGTGGCAATCTTAATATCAAATTATAATTTAAAGCTAAAAATCAGTTAAGTGAGATTTAAAAAAAAATCAATAGTGGATATAAAATAACACTAAATAAAGCAAAGTCAGTTAAAATAAAATTACAAGAGAAAATCAACAGAAATAACATAGTGAGAAACTTCTAACATACCACTCTTCCTCTGTGATATCAAAGAATAGACAAAAATAAAGAGGACAAAAACTGTACAATGTAATTTATAAAGTTGAACTAAAAGGTAAATATCAAACTCTACATTCCACTGAAAATACATCTTTTTTCTATTCAACAAATATTTGTCCACTTATTTTATTCATTGTTTACCTTTACCTTCTAGAATAATTCCTTGCATATAGCATGCATAGAATAAATATTTGTTAGGTAATAAGAAAAGAGCATACCTTTTCAAGATTTCATAGAAGACCTATATACACTGATTATTTCCTAGACCTCAGTGAAAATGCATTATTATTTCCAAGGCAAAATTTACATTTTTAAACTACAAATTTAAAAAATGTTAGACTTTAAAATGGAAGTCTTTGAATTCTGGGTTCAAAATGGGGATCTGGGGTTCACTGTAGGTTTTTCCCTCAAAGTGTTGGCTCAGTTTGCTGACATGGTCAAAAGGCTGATTAAAACACTTGCTTCATAAAACTGAAACTGAAAATAATCATAAGATAACCAAATCTTTATATTACATAAAATCATCGTGCATATTTTTAAAATGCTGTTTATAATACATATCACCTCACTTGAGAGAGACATGGTGAACAAGAGAAAGTCCAGAAAAAGTAAGAGGATGATTACAGGATAGCCTACAGACATGATATATAGGGAAAGACTAAGTAAAATATAGATTCTTCAGTCTGGAAAAATGGTGGCTAAAGGGAACATGAAAAAATCACAAATGACATCGATGTAATAAATACAGATTTAGTCATTTGATTCTAAAATAAAGAGTGAGGAGACACAATTTGGAACTGGAATATAGTCATTTTAGAACTAACATAAGGAAGTAGATTCATAAAACATAAAGTGCCAGATGGGATTTAAAGACTCTCTGTTGAGTTTCCTTGTATTACAAATAAAGAATGGATTTCAACAAATGGTGCTAGGGAACTGGATTCCCACTCGCAAAAGAGTGAAGTTGGATCCTTACCTTATACCATATGTAAAAACCACTCAAATGGATCAAAGACCTAAACATTAGAGATAAAACAATAAAATTCTAAGAAGAAAGCAGGGGAAAATTTTCCTGACATCAGATTTATTAATGATTTTTTGGATATAACACCAAAAAGTACAAGAAACAAAAAATAAATTGGATTACATCAGAATTAGAAACTGT